TCATTCGTTCTATTTTGCTAACAAATATACTAGCCATATTTCTCCTTTTTTGTGTACTTTGCTTCTAGTACCTATAAAGATGAAACATTTTGATTATCTTCATTATTTTTTATCCTGAACCATTTCCTATCTAATTTTTCCTACTTTATATTATGCTGAGACTTTTAGCTATGCACATTTCCTTGCTACTTCGATTATTTTAATTGCTCAGCAAAATTCTAAGCACATAATCGCATATTCAAGTTATTATATTCAACTATAGCACATACCATATCTATTTAAATGTCTGGGCACATGTGAAATCCACACTATGCATTTGCATGGTGTTCCCCTCCTAATATAGATGAAATCGATGATCGTATTTCATCATTTGTATAGAAGATGAAACCCATGGTCGTATGGGCTACACACCACTTCAACAGGGATGATTTTGACTTGTTGATATATCCCATATTTCTCAAAATATTTTAGGTGAAATAGGATTTTGAAAAAGTTTAGGAACTTCTAGCATACTTTACCCATAATCTAAAATTTTAGATTACTTTTAGTTTAAAATTTTAGGCACAATACGTTCTTCATGAGTGCGATAGTTTTTCTATTAGGGCAGGGAGTCATGAATCTTGTAACGGCTTCATAGCCTCTTTTATGTGCTTGCATACGTTCCATACAACTTATATTAAAAAAAAAAAATTTAGACGCAATACAATATGATCGTAAAAAACACTCAAGCAATTGAGTGAGTTTTCTTTGGTCCAAACAACCCAATGTTACCATTAAATATTTAGATTGAGGAATTTGATGAAAGATTTGAAATCCTCCTAAATCCCTAGATTAGTTAGGAGGTATTTAGATTTGTAAATCATAATTTATTCTAGTGTCTAAAGTGTATTCAGACAATTGGTAAATTATGAATCTATATATCTATTGAGCAATCCAAATAACTAAAGCAATTAAGAGGTTGAATTCAAAATTTTCGTCAAATTTCTCAATCTAAACGAAGTTTCAAATATTTAAGAAATGCATATTCTTTAAACAATGATGGGGCATAACAAACCATCAGACCATGCCCACCCACCTTGGCCATCAACCTTGTTATCACACCTTTATTCGTTCTAAGAATTCTCTTGGGAATCAATCTGAGCAGATGTTTGCATGTTTAGCTGAAAAGAGCACTAAGTAATTTTTTTTTTCCCATAAAATGCAGATTTCATTAACAAATTATTGGAAATCATCCAACATGGTTTGATTTACATCACTGTTCTAGTGGTAGGTTAAATATGCACTATAAATTACATATTTACAATTTAACAAATACAATAGATCCAAAATATTCTGAATAGATCTGAAAAATACAAGAAATATCTAGATTGTTTTGTAATACTCCCTTCTATACATGTTGCAATCCACAAATCTACTGATCAGCGGTTTTAAACTCCAATAGTGATGATAAGATCTATCAAAACAGATCCAAGATACAAAAAAATGTTAGATCTGACAATTAGATCCAACATAAATTTAGATCTAACAACAAAAAAAAAGTAAAAAATACAAAAATCTCCATAAGAATCCCTAGGAGAATAGAAAATTCTCACTAAAAATTCTAATATGTGGTTTTAAACTCCAATAGTGATGATAAGATCTATCGAAACAGATCCAAGATCCAAAAAAAATTTAGATCTTCCAACATAAATTTAGATCTAACAACAAAAAAAGTAAAAAAAATACAAAAAACTCCATAAGAATCCCTAGGAGAATAGAAAATTCTCACTAGAAATTCTTCGGAGAAATGGAAAACTCTCACTAAGAAAAATTAGAAGAAACTTTATTAGAGAAAAACAAACAAAAAGAAGCGAGATTCATGGGAGGGTGACCATGGTGTAGTCTCCATCCCTAAGAGAGAGAAGAGAAGAGGTGGAGAGAATTGAGAACAAGAGTTACTAAGTAATATATTTCATTATTGTGATTTACTACAAAAATTAATTATAAGTTGAAGACAAATAAAAAGAAAATTAGATATGCGAAATTTTTTGTAGCATTTTAACCCAAAAAAAAAAAAAATGGCTGAAGACCAAAGAAATTAGACATCAGAAGAAGAGAGGCCACGCATTAAACACAATGAAAGCCTTTTCCTGATGAAATTGGGTTGTGCAAAAAAATCGTAAACCAGAAAAGAAGGCACTTAATCTTTTTAGCTATTTCTCTTGGTGAAATTGGGCTGTGCTAAAATTCTAAACCGAGTTGGTCAGTATATTAAACTTTAAACCAAAAGAAATTCTAAAATTTTAACTTACGAGTAAAGTAGGTCAGAGGTTACCAAATTATTACAAAATAAAATTAGTATTATTGTATACACGCTGAATTGGCACTTAAGAATTACACATGGTATATAAATGCCTCATGGAAAGAAAATGATTTTAGCTCATCCTGATTGTAAATAGCTGCTATGACTTACAGGGAGGGTTGAGTTGGGTTGGGTTAAATGATAAAATGTGAGAGATTATAAACAAGAGATCTTAAATTCAAAATTTCCCTGCTTAAAAAAAAAAAAAAAAAAAAAAAAAAAAGGCGCTGCTGTGACTTGCCATATGAAAGTAAATGATGTAAACCTCATATCACTTTGTGAAACCAGGAGATAAACATATAACTAATTTGGCTAATAATTGGTGTCTAAGTTCATAAGATCATCTTCTGATGCCTGCAGAATTGGAAGTCTTATTCGAATTTGACCATTAAAACCACGATTCCGCTCTGGGCAGAAAACAATGTAGTTGGAGTTGTCTAATTGGTTAGTGCTTTGCACACGATAGAGGGGCTGACCAGCTGCATAACCACCAAGAAGCTGGTATGATCTTTCCGATTGATCCATTGTAATGCATAAATCCTCAGTACCTACAAACATATCCCAATTAGGTAGATGAAAATTTAGGGACATCTACCCAAAAGGAATAAGGAAATTGAACAAAAAATTTTTTCTATACATAAAGATTATTTGGTTATCGGCAGCAATTTACATTAAATCTAAAACATAGGAATGTGTACAGTAGAACGTTGTGAATAAATGAGGTACATAACATAATGGAAGGGACTTCTGTCTAGTGTTAAAAAAAAAATACTATACTTCAATTAGTGTTATTTTTTGTTATTATAAGTCAATGAATATCGTCAAATTTGAAAAATAAAAAGGACGTATTTACAAAGAAAAAAAATAAAGGGAGAAAAACATAGCTTTCAATTTTTGGATTAGACTTACAGGCAGCGAGCTCTAACTGAGTTTGGTAGATAAAATCCAATACTCCAGATATGTCTTTCTCAAACATATCAAACGGTCCATCCTCGAAGTTCATTTTTCTCAGCTTACACAGTCCCTCTCCCAACTCCATCATAGCTCCCCTGTGGTTCTAAGAAAGGAAAAAAAAAAATTTGTTTGAGTAATTTATTAAATGAAGAAATTTGCATTACCTTAAAGTATTGTATTTAATATCTCATTTGTACTTTCCTACCATTCAATTTGAGAAGAAGTACATAACAAAATGACAAACAAATACTATTAGAATAAGTTGAACTCAGCAAATTGTACATTAGAGTCAATCTTAACTGCCGAATTCCACAGATGTCAAAATAGTAGTCATTTTTTTTCTTAATAATACCATATTTGTAGTAATCATCACAATTTATTGTGTTGATTTCTCATTTAAGAACATACAGAGTGTAGCAATAATTGTTAAATATTACCTGATTAAAAAGATGATGGAAACCTACGGCACATTGCAAAATGCCATGCACAAGAGTTCTGGTGGGCTCTTGGGACTTGTTCCAAAGGGATTCAAGAACGTCATGGCATCTATAATATTCCCTCTTGTTGAAGAGCTCAACTGCTTCTTGAAAGCTACAACAATCAACATCTTCTTCTTCTTCAGTGGTAAATCTTCCCCAAGATGAATACCGATAAGATGCAGTTTTGTGATGTGAAAACAGCATATTTTCATGCTGACAATTAGTAGTAACTTTTTTGTTGAAAAATGAAGTACTGGGATTAGGGCAAAGAGTTGGCTTGGTTGGTGATGAAAAGGAGGAGGAAGGACTAGTGAATGATGGTAGAGAGGTTGAAAGAATTGCCATTTGCTATTGGCTATTGTGGCTGAGGAGGAGCAATTCTTACTCCTTTTCTTTGATTTGTTTCTATGGGTTTTGCATTGCCTTGAATGAGTTCTGGTGGTGGAGATTCCAGCTGGGCTGGCCTAAGATATTTCTGAAATGTTGTAATTTAGTTAGTCATTTCTAGTTTTTTGGTCTTTGGAAAAAACACACTTATAGTCCTTCACGTCTGAGATTTCTACGTTTTTTGTCTTGCATGTTTTATACATTGGATACTTTGATCCCTAACATTTTCAAAAGCATAGCATTTCAGTCTTAAACTCATTTCCTTTATTGTACTTGCACATTATTCGACAAATATTTCAGGGTAAAGAGGGAAATACAATAAGGATGATATTTTTGGTTCACTTTTTAATTCTATCGTTAAATATTAATCATGCGATGTCAGTGAGTGCTTTTTTTTTTTTTGGATACAAGGCTCTAATAAATTGTCTAATTATATACACATTAAAGTTAAACCGACAAATGTAACACTATTGTCAGTACTATTGAGTTATTATATTCTTAAAATTTTTTCACAATCCAATGAAAGTATCTTGACCGATCTCTAATACTCAAAATTTGGAATTTTTCCAAATTTCAAGTTCCAATCTCTGACACTCAAAATTCAAATGGGAGGATCAATAGTTTCTTTTTTCTTTTGGGTAATAAATGTTTGACAATTGTTAAGTAACCCATCTTATACTTTTTAAGCGAAAAATGGTGAGTCTTGATTATCAAAGAAAATAAGGAACTGAAATTCATCACATCTTGAAAATGAGGGACTAAAATTGGTAATCTCACAGCGTAAGGTGCCATCCTCCCTTTCAACTCTTACCTAATTGAAAATACATCTCCACACAAGTTCATCAACAGCCCCGCAAAAAAATAAAATAAAATCATAAACAACTCAAGCAAAAAAAAAAAAAAAGGGACTCTCCCATTTGCTATTTGCCATTTGCCATTTGCCATTTGCCAAAACGATTCGGTTCTGCTTTCTCTGTTTCCGTTTCGTCCGGTTAATAATCAACTACACATATATACTGAGGTGTTTTAGAGACTACTTTTTTCCCAGTTAATTCTATTTTGCCTTGAGCTTATGCTTTTATGAGGTTCAGGAGAAGGGTTGTTCTGGAATCGCCTCGAGATTGAATATCTAGGTTGGCTGAAAATGTACTAATTTCAGGTATTTATTCTATTTCCAATTCAAATTTTTCGTTTTATGTTGTATTCGGATTGGATTATTATAAGCGTTTGATCCCTCATGATCTTTTTGTATAATGGGTTTGGGTTTTTTTTTTTTGGATGTTATTCTTTGTGGTCGGTGAAAAAGAGTACCAAATCTTTTTACTGATTTTTTTTTTTAAAATTGTTGTTATGGGTATTAATTGAGTTAATTTTGAAGAAATTCTTGTTTTGACTGTCTGATTGTTGTTATAGTAATAAAATTATAGAAGAGCTTGCGCATTGTACAATTTTTGAGTTGTTTGTTGTGAAGGGCATTTTTAGTGCTTTCCATGTGATTATTATTATTATTATTGGTTAAGTTATGGATTGATTTGGTGGGCTTTAGTGGTGAGAAGGAAGTTGCAATGAAGGAAAAAAGAGGGAGTTATGTTCCACCAAGTTATATACCCCTGGAGCAGGTGGAGCGGTCAGATTCAGAAGCAGAGAAAGATGGAGATGAAGTGGTGGATGTTGGCGGCCCAAGTGAGACAACGAAAACTCAAAGTGAGAGTTCTGGCGTGCCACAGCAGTGGTCTTCTGGAATCTGTGCTTGTTGTGATGATCTGCAAAGCTGTAAGCAGATTTCTGCCTCCATTTTGGTCTCATATTGATTTTTCAGTAATTACCCCTCTCACAGACGGAAAAAAGAAAGAGATAAGGACAAGAGGGGAGGAAGATGCAATTGCTATGTTTGTTTGATATTTGTTAGGTTTTGACATGTATTTGTATGGTATTGGCTTGGGGAAGAGGTATTTCTTGTGATATAAGCTGTTCTATTTCTATTCCATGTTTCCTAAGAATGATGCATATTATCTGGATCTTTTTGCCTAAGATGTATGCTTCTCATGGTCCTAACATCACTGCCAGACGTGGAATTGTAATTCTTGTCATATCTGATTGAGGCACAAAGTATTTGGACAAACATTAGTATTGATCATTATGACTGGAAGTTTTTCCTTTGGCAGAAAGCTCTTTACCTAAAAGCCATGACAGGGGATAATATGCACCACTATTAGAAATAAATGTTTGCATTTTAGAAAGATGGAGGACCCAAAATTATATAAGAGTAAACTATTTATGGAGTCCTTCAACTATTTCAATTGTCTCAAATTGGTCCCTCATCTATTTCATCTCAAATTGGTGCCTTAACAATGAAAAGTGTTAGATTTTGATCCTTGGGTCTATTTCCACAGTTAGATCTGTCCAATTTTGCCCTTAGATGCATCAGTTGTAACGGTGGAGATTGACTGATGGATCAAAATTTGACGCTTTTTGTTGTTGAGGGACCATTTTGAGACTTGAAATAAATGAGGGGCCACTTTGAGACAATTGGAATAGTTTAAGGGCTCCCTAGATAGTTTAACCAAAGTATAAATTGGAGCGGTTCAAGATTTACATTTCTCTGGGATGAGGATTTGCTTGACAACTTGCCTTAGTTGGTGTGAAGTACTCAAATGTGGCTTATTCGACATTAACTGGCATATGGATGAGAAATCTGATTATGTTAGTGGTGAACAAGCACATCTTGAATATGGTTAATATGCACCGAGCTCAGCCAGTTAGTATATAGTCTTCTCAATCAGCCAATCATCTTTCAACTTTGAATCCTGCATACATTAGACAAAATCAAATGTGTAAGAAAATGATAATTAGCAAAACACATATATCTCCTTTCTTTTAGTATCTGATAACATAATTCATACGCATGTCTTAAGTAATATACTTGGCTTATTGTTCAAACCCCCTGGATTGATTTCTGCTCTCAGAGTTTTCATTGACGAGGCCCTAAACACTGCTAGTTGCGGTTATGATTCCTGTTGAGCACCTTTTGTTTACATAAAATATTATTTGTTCAGTAGTATGTTGCTTTTCTATAAAGAAGCTGAAAACAACAAAAAATTTTCTGTATTTCTGTATTGGAGATTACTGTGCATGCAATTTCACATCACTAGCAATGCTGTTCTTCAAATTTTCTGGAAGTTCAACGCAGCAGAGGAATCTAATTAGGGTTTGAGTTTTAGATTCCTCTATCACTGAACTGTGATTGAAGGTTTTGTGCAATTACATCGAGAAAATATGCAGTTACATGCTTTGTGTAAACCAGTCATTTAATAAGTGGACTGATCTGGGTTTTGGGCATTAAGTTTATCAGGATCAAGTTCAAAGGTTAATTTCCTTTTCAGATAAAAGTTTTTGCTAAATTCTGTTGACTGGAAAATTATCAGCTCATTTATAAGTTTAAATTATCAGGAAAAGTAGTGGTTCATTGATTTATACCCGTAAGAACTCTTTGTGAGCTATGAGTTTTGGCTACACATTTCACCTAAGCTTAAGCTATTAAATTGGAAACCAATGTATTCTCTTCTATGCTCAAAACCATTTTAACGTCAAATCTCGATATCATTATCTTGTGAGTGACTTGAGAGACGTGCCTTTTATTTAATTGACTCAGTCAAAATCAGACTCGTAGTATTTTGTTGGCTCTGATAATTGATCCTAATGAACTAATATCAAGTATTGTTTGTGGTCAGGTTTCATTGGGCTCGTTTGTCCTTGCTTTCTTTTTGGGAAGAATGCAGAGTTTTTGGGTTCAGGAACTTTTATGGGGTCGTGCATGACCCATTTTATCTTATGGGGTCTTGTCAATACTCTCTGTTGCTTTCTGACTGATGGTGTTCTTCTGGGTTTGCCTGGATGCTTTGTTTCTTGTTATGCATGTGGCTATCGGAGGACATTAAGGTCCAAATACAATCTGCAGGTATTGACGGTGTTGCTTCTGCTTTGTAATTATTTTCATTATAAATCTGCCATGCTTTGTAATTTTCCGCTGTTTATGTTTTAGATTGTATCATAACTTTATGTTCATGGAGTACCTTCCAAGTGATTTTTATTCCCAATTCCTCCCTCTGAACGAATAACAAGAGCAAGTTCAGAGTTTTAACTGCTAGTAAGCGTTCATTCTTTATGTGCTTGGTTCATCATTCACTTGATATTGTTAATTCATGACAGCTTCCCTGGACTAGAAATACAAGATCGATGAAGTAGTTAAGCAAGTATCAAGTACAATAAATGTTGGAACAGCTTTAGGAAGCAAGAACTGAAGCTTCCTTGGAATTGATCCTAATGATGGCAAAAAGCTCCACTTTCACTTGTACTAAGATGTTTTTGGGGTCAAAAGGAAGAATATTCTCAGTCCAAAATTCGAAAATCAATTTTTTTCTTCTAAGTTAAGGTTACTTTTGATACCTACCATTGGCATTTTATCATAAGCTTATTAAATTTGTTACAAATGATTCTAACTTTGCGCTGAAGATGGACAAAATAGTTTGATCTCCAAGAATTAATACTCTAGATATAGAAACTGGAGAATGCTCTGAATTTCTGTTCTTCTAAGTTAAAATTGCTTTTGATACATATTATTGGCGTTTTATCATAAGCTTATTAAATTTGTTATAAATGATTCTAACTTTGCTTTGAAGTTGGACACAATAGTTTGATCTCCAAGAATTAATACTTTACATATAGACTGGAGAATGCTCTGAATTTCATTGCGCTGTGATATAGCATTAAGGAATGATGTCATATAGGAAGTAACTGAGTTAAATTCAAGAAATACTGGGACCAGTTATGACAAACCAAGATTGAAAAGAACTTCAAAGCAGCTGATTTGAAGTTAAGGCTATATTTTTCCCCAAGAAAAAGACCATTGAAAGTTTTGGAATCTTTTACACACTACATGTTTGTTGTTCTCTTCATCACTAGTGTAGTTGTGGAGAGTTATTATGTTATGGCTTGTAGTGTGAGAAGAATAGTGCTGATGGTGGAAGTTTTGTACACTTGTCGAGGAAAATGCCACAGGAGAAATAGAATGGTTTGTACATTTGAATGGTTTGTACATTTAACATGTCAACGATTAACATGTCCTTGATTTGGAAAGGAAAACAACATTTTCCTGGCTTTGATATGTCTGTCATGACATGTATATTAGTAGATTAGTCAACTGAAGCCTATTCATCTGTACAATTCAATTCTAGAAAATTGATGTGGATGAACAGGGTAATAGCTCGTTGAAGTGTATTGATGGCACTCAACTTTTCGGGGGTGTACCATTTTGGTGATCAGAAGATAATTTATTGTTTGATTTTTCTGTGGATGATATACAATAGTTGTTGACCCAGTTTATGGACTTTGGGCTTGCCAAGATTTGTCTGTTGATCCTCTTGTTTTTTTTGCCAGATTAACTGTTTCTTTTTCCTGCTTTTATGTGATTTGAGAGCTTGTTTGTTGTATAGTAGTTCCTTGACCTTTAGTACTCATAGGTATGCCTGCAACTTAATAGTTATTGGAGTTGGTGCTGTACCAATGATGCTAATGGACTCTGTTAGACTCAAATTTTATCCTTTGCTGTCATGTGACGCCCTTTGATGCTCTTTCTCAAATTTTTTAAAGATGAAAGATGAAATTAGAACTCAAGCTTCTGTAAATCCTTGTCTGTTGAAGGCTGAATATATACTTTTTAACCTCCTCTCTACGAATTGTAAACTAGTATTCGGGGTGCGGAAATGATTTACGATCCTTGAGTAATCAGATAGACCTCAAGCACTCTGTAGTCAAGGCATGTCTTAGACCCAACATATGCAATATGTTGACACATGGTAGACTTAGGTGTTAATTGGAGGCATGGGCATTTAAATTGGTAATCTCCCTCTACAAGATCAAATAGCAAAAGTTTTATAATATGTAAGCATATCAATATGGACATCCAATCATACATGTGACCTGAGGAATTTTTATTCCAAAAGCGTGATATCAATCAGATCTAAGGACTGCTACATTGCGTAATTGCTGTTTTTGAGCATCATCACTAAAGCATTCAACTTGCAGATTATGTTTAGGCTACTTTGCAAATGCTTTAGTTTTCCAGGGGTCTTTAAAAGTGAACATTATGTCAGTATTTTTAGCTGGTGGATGTGTTAAAAAGTCATTAGCATCATTTTGGTGAAAAGCCTGTCCGACTGTCTTCCTTTGTTGATGATCAAACTTTCGGCTTCTATTCTAGGCAATAATATGAAAGCCTTAGGTTCTCTCTAGACAATTTGTGATCAGTTGTATGATTAGATATCCAATTGTACTCTCCCATTTAATATGCTGGGTGATTTAGGAATTCACTTGTTTTATTATGACTAGCAGGTCTGCTGTTGTCATAGCCATCCCAATCCCCATGTTTTCAGCCTCATATAAGCTTTATTATACCTGTTGAGTTATGGGTGGATAGCTTGATTGAGATACTTCCACCACCTGTCAATGGACATTCTGTTTTACCATCCTTTGCGTGCTGAATGCTTGGTTTGGTGTAATAGATGTAGGCCATAGATACCCAATGAGAAATGAACATAGCAGGCAAGTCATATATTAGAGCAGATTAAAGTATTGCATATGGTTATTAGACAATGTTGGAAGACCAATTTTTGGGGTTGCATTTTTGCATTGAAGATGTTACCTTAGGACCAGACGCACGCATTTTCATGTGGCATTATTTTCTGGGCGGTAGGGGATTGTGATCGACATCAAGATGCACATTACACTTAAATAATACATTCACATGCACTAGTTTTGAGCTTTTTGTGATTTTTGAACAAGCTTGTCTGCCAGTATAAGGTTACTTACCTGATAAAATACATGACTTATGAATCATCAGCTTTTTCATAAATTAGGTTTACAGGTTGATTTTGTCATTTTCAAGTCCAGTTAGCTGGTCTTACTGATATTCCTATGCCTGTGAATTTGACAAAGCTTGCTTTCCTGAAGCCTTGTTTTGATTTACTTTTAAATGTTGTACCAAGTGTACTATTGAGTTCTTGTTTCATTTGGCTGTTTAAATTTGTAACAAGTCTTAAAATGTCCTGAAGCCTTGTTTCGATTGACTACTTAAAGTTACCACTATCATGATCCTGTCAATGCTAAATATTCTTGGGAATTTCTGTCTGCCATGCCATCTGCCAAAGCGATGTAGTAGTGGGAAGCATGCTCCAATAACATTTGGTTTTAGAATTGTTACGTATAGAAAGTTTAGAATCTCGAAAATGGCATTTTAGAATCTGAGATAGAAGAGCAAGAGAAGGAGAAGAAGCTCTAGGAATTTCACCTACATTTCTCTAGGATTAACCACATAAGGTGAAGTCGCTTTCATTTCTCAAAGAAAGCAGAAGACAATAACCTAAACAATCCCTATCTCGTTGCTTCTCTATTACTGAGCTATTACAACTTGTATATGGAGAAAGGTTCTTGTAGGCTAATATTTCTTAAGGAGTAAGGATACATTTTAACTAAGCAAACCTGGCAACAGAGAAAGTTAAAAGCTTGAAAATGTATAAAGCCAACTTGGTTTGACAACATTAGGAGGCAGCTACCAGGTTTCACTGTCCAATGCATATTTTTGACTCCTAGAAACTCTGATATCCGAAATTACAAATTAATACAATAATACATTTAAATAAACATTAAACACATTGGTAGTAGCCGCTAACAAAATCCAGTTCCATGATTTGCTGGGATTTTCATAGCAAAAAGAAGTTTGTTGTGTTCTTATTTATCTTTGCTCTGCTTTTGGCATATTTGAAATTGGAAAAGGTGATGCTGAGAGATACCCCTTGAGACACGGCCTTTGCATGTTATTGCAACCAAAATATGCTTTCAATTTTTTGCAGCCTTTTAAAGAGTGTGTTGAAAACTGAAGCTAACAAGAATAGTCTTTTTTATTTTCCCACTTTTGTAGTTTGGAGTTTTAATAATTGCAATTTTGTTTGTCTATGAAAATGTGAATATAGGCCAGATATCTTCCTTAAGGCCTTGCCAGATTATTTTTGTTCTCTTAGTTGCATCTATTGTCTTTTAAGTATGATTTAGTTTGTAACATCACTTACTGTCTGTCTTGCAACTTGAATGTCTTCATGGGATCTAATATTCTGTTACCATCAGAAGTTGAAAAGGCATTAAGTAAAACTTTTAGATGCCATGATAACTCTTTAAACGTGTTAACCTGCATTTGGGTAAAGCTAGTAGTTGTGGATCAAGTTCTAAAATAGCAATATTCTTTAATATCTAACATTTTTTCTTATCAAAAGGCAATGTTTTCCTTGCTTTAGACAAAACAAGAAAAGATGAACTTGTTATTTAAGATTAGCAGAGTAACAATTTCAGTTTAGATATGTCAAGAGCTAGCATTACATCACATTCAACCAACATTGGAAATTGTTGGACTTCTTAGTGTGTTTCACTCTTAGATGTCTCTAGTTGCTTTGAGATGTGGGAAAAATATCTGATATTGGTGTTCTTGACTTTTAGTAGTCTCTGGTTCCTAAACAGAAAAGGCGGTAAGTCTATCCTTACCATGTTCTCTGATTGTCTAAGCTCCATGGGCTAGTTATTATACCTTTGATCGTAGCGATGTCTCTTCTTCGAGACCCTGATTCTGTGCTTTATAACATCCTTGAATGTTTGATGCAGGAAGCCCCCTGTGGAGACTTCATCACCCATTTTTTCTGCCACTTGTGTGCTATATGTCAGGAATACCGAGAGATAAGGGAAAGATCTGGTTGTGCAAATCCCACTGACTTAGGTTTAGTAGAAGTGACTGCCCCTGCACATCAAACGATGAATCAACAACCTTAAACTAATATTGTCTAGATACAGCTGGTGAGCATGTATCTGCAATGCATAGATACCTCTTTCCACAGCATGTTTTGCACTTTTTTTTTTTCTATTGTTGTGTTGTCTAAATTCTCGATGATCCTCCTGCAGGATAATTGTTATCCGGCTTTGTTTTGCTCTACAGATGTCACACATGTTCAGAGTATGTGTTCGCCGGATGGTATAAGATACATCTTTCAGTGAGAACCTTACTCTCCAAATTAGACGATCCAAACAACTAAGGGTGAAAGTTACCCCATAAAAAATAGAAAAATGAAAATGGGCATATGATGGTGTCTGTTCTTTATTTTTTTCAATTAAAAAAAAAAAGAGAGCTTAGTTGCAATACCTATGCAAAGAGGAAATTATACAACTGGTGAGAATGTATTGCAAAACCCTTTTGGAAAAGAAAGTTTGGTTTCCAACTTGGGATTCTGGAACTGATATGTTCCATATTCCCAGAATCTACGTTTATGTCACAATCTGAAGCTGCATAATAGTCTTGTGTGATTGTAAAATGGTATCAGTTCCTTTTGGCCAGTGCTTCTGTCAGCCCCACAAAGTAAGGCCATGACCATCCCCGTCACCCTCATCTTCATCGTGGATTATGCATTTGTGCTCTTGAGGGCAGCTGCCCACCTCTCACATTTCTGGATTTGTTTGTAAGAGTGTGTGTGTGTGTGTGTGTTTGTATGCGTTTTTTTTTTTTTTATTTTTTTGGTGGGAGGTTTAGGAACTTGGGATTACGGATTTGCATACCAAGTTGCAAAAGCAAGGCACAGAAATAGAAGTAGGAGTTGAAGCAAAGATAGCAGAATGGAGATCCATGATCATTGATGAATAAATTGTAGTATGAAAAGCAAAAACATAAGAGAAAAACTTCCAAAACTTTTTAGCTTGCCGGTTGTCACTACTTGACTCAAGATAGGTTATCAGAATAAGAATTTACCATATCATTTAATTGAGAAATAAAAAGGGTGCCTCTGAAAACAGGGTCTCATAGAATCTTAGCCAGCTTATATTACAAGCTTCCCAACAACTACAAGAGCATCTTCATACATGATGCGAACCTAACTGATGAGATCAAAAGTTTATGCCAACTTGAGTAATGCTATCAATTCACAAATATTGATCATTTTCACTTTCTTTTGTTATATACTTCTCACAAAATGAACTTTGAACAGTCTGATATGTATCTGGAGCTGCATATCATCACAATGTTTGGTGGTTGCTTCAAGCAGACTGATATATCTAATGCAATGTGTGTAAGTTGTAACTGTTTTCTTTTTTAATTCTTCAAATATGTATACACACACACACAAAACATCCATACATACATACACTTAGATAATGAGTTCAAGCGAACTAAAAACTGTCCACACATTGCATGAATTATTGCTTGAGGCACACACTCCTTAGATATTTGTTGAAATAAAACTACCAATTTAAAGTATTTTTATTTGGACGTTTTAGCCTTGGATGAGATGGTTAATTTTGCAAGTGGTTTTTTGTGGTAAATTATTTGGAGTAAAATTGGCATTAAAAGGAAGTGACAATAGAATCTGCACCATAACAATGCTCATGCTTTATGTATAGTATAGATATAGATTGTTGTAGCATTATAAAAAAGATTTGCCCAATTGGCATGGTTGGTATGAATTTAATGTGGATGGATATGGATCCAGTCCATCTTGGAATGGCTGATTGTTGTTTGTTTATATCATTGTGGTGGATTAAAAATGGAAAAAAAAAATAAAATTGGTTGTTGTGGTGGTAAATTCAAGAGATTATCTACACAACTAATCTCGTGTTCTTGGTTTCCCTTTTGGTGGATAGACTGTGGAACTTTTGGTTCATATGGATTGCGATGGATGTGAGAAAAGGATACGAAGAGCAATCTCAAAATTGCATGGCAAGATATCTTCCAAATTGTCCAACCCTCAACCATGTGGTTTGATGATTCTTTATTTCATATAGATTTAGAACGATAACTTACAATCACCTTAGTTTCTTTGTTATCTGAATTATATCCATGTTTCTTAAGATTTTTAGAAATTTCATTAACTAATATGTCAAAAAAAAAAATGATGATAAAAAGATCTCTCAGAAGAAAATGAAACGTTTCAATTTGTATTTTTGGTTTGGCTTCTGCAAATTATGTATTTTTAGTGTTTGAACATAATATTTTGTGTGTTGAATTTTCTATTTAAAATTTTGTTGGATTCTACTTATTTAGATAAGGTTGTTTTCTTTGTCATGATTCCAATTCTTATGTGCCTTTTTGAATTATTTAACTTAATTATGTAACATAAGTTAAATCACTTCTCGAAAAAAAAAAGTTCAAGACTAATGGGTCCCAATAATTAAATAAAATTTTTTTCTATGAATAAAGGATAAGCATACAACAAAAAAAAATAAAAAATATAATTGGATTCAGTATGAAAGCTCTAAAATTTCCGCTCACCTATTTAATTGCGTTTACATTTTTACTCTATTTTTATCCAAATGTCATTGCTTATCATGTAGGTGCCAAATAGAGGATTCCATATAATACACCGTACTTTTGCAGCTTTCATATTTAATCCTATCATGCGCATTGGAATATGCCTCTAAATTAATTAACATCAGCTTGGATTAAGCCTAATGCTTTTCACTTAATCACTAGTCGTTGACATAGATTTCTAGACTAATAAATACAACAACTGATATATGCAAACTCAGTTCAAAATCATATGTTTCTTCTTAATTTTTTTAACAGGAGAGAGGTAGGATTTATGAAGCAGAGTGGAAAAAAGAAAATTTGAATCAAGACGTATAAATTGTGGGGCTCAACCTTAGTTATCAGTTTAAGACCATGTGAATGAATGGTATGGAAAAGAAGGTATTGAGTGGTTGTCACGAGCGAGAGGCTAGTTATTCTTGTAGCAGAGCGAAACTTTAAAACTTAAAATTATAGCCTTTTATGAAAGCTTTGTGTTAAAAGCATTTGACTGAAAATAATGCACTGCGCTTAATATGGAGCAATATAATTACTAGTTGTATTAACCACAAAATCTACATCAGCCCTCGGCTTTCCATAATCCTTTCAGGCGCTTCATAATCATTAATTATGGCATTTAGCTTTCACATGTTGGATATGCGTAGGACCACTATTAGAATACTAGTTTTGCTTTTATTCTTTTTCATGTATTAGTTCATCTAAAAGTTCAAATATTAAAAAACAGATTAATTTGTCATTTGGTTTTAATTTCATTTAGTTCACTCTCACTTTTTTCAAATCTGGGATTAATTTCTATGGTATATGTTTATAGGATGTTGATGGGTGTGGCAAAGAGAATCAAAATATTGTCATTTCTTTTTTTTTTTTGGGATAGAAAGAATAAATTGTTAATTGTCACGAGTACAAAGTCACGTGCTATAACGAATTGCAAGATTTGCAATCTACACAAGCATGTGCAATTTATTTAGGGTGAATCTTATATGCATTGACAGTGTATATACCATCACATTTGAGTACATGAACATATTTAAAATTGAATTTCAATTTCGATTTATATTAGTTATCACACATCCAAAACTGGTAGTGTGCATATAAGATTAATCTATTTGTTTATCATTTCTTTTTGTGATTTAATTTCAGAAGGATTGCTTTCAAATTAATGCAGGTGTTGATAGCTTTGATGTAGACATGGATCAGCAAAAAGTCACAGTTGTCGGGTATGTAGATAGAAGGAAGGTCCTAAAGGTTGTAAGGAGAACAGGGAGAAAAGCAGAGTTTTGGCCATTTCCATATGATAGTGAGTACTATCCCTATGCAGCCCAGTACTTGGATGAATCAACTTACTCATCCACATACAACTATTACATGCATGGTTATAATGAGAGCATGCATGGGTATTTCCCAGATCTCCCTTACTCAACACTTGATGACAAATTTGCTTATAGCTTCAGTGAGGAAAATGTCCATGCATGCAGCATCATGTGACTATTTTAAAACCTATGTTACTCAGACTCGACTATCAAGTCCCGCTGACACAGCTACTATATAGTGCAAAATGAAGAGTCGGACATGAATACAGCGACTAAGTGAAGAATCTCAGTAGTATAGTTTAGAACCATTGGTCACTGAGCAATACAATTTACAGCTACACGAATAAATGTGTATGATCGAAGGTACTTGGATTTTAGATATATGGAACTATGAATCTCTGATAGGATTAATAATAAATGGAAAATAAAGAAGAAGATTTATCAAAGAGTAATGAAAGTCGAGGTGCAGGATGCCTAGCACTGTTGAAAATGATTTTGTTACTGCAAGAATGTATGCACGATGCAATGTTTATAATTCTCTAGATGGTCACTCATCATGATACAACGACAATCCAACAGTGGCTGCTAAGGGTCAATAATGCGATCAGCTTGGATATGTCAAATACATTCCAAGCCTTTATTATCTGCACAATTGTTCTAGGTCACCTACTAGTTACCTATATATATATATATATATATATATATATATATAATTTTTAACGTTGTTGTAAGTACAATGAATACAACCAAAAGAAATAGGAAATTGTCGTGCAATATTTAGTTGATAAGAGTTGAATAATGCATGTGCCAGAAAGATGTACATTTCACTTGCCTTTGCTCTCAATAACACTTTTTTATGCACTTTTTTAACGTCATATGCAGTTTGTGTGATGTAGTTTGTTGATTTTGACTCATAAAATGTGGATCTGAGAAATAACTTGCTTCTTAGTGCCTTTTGGACCATATTTAAAAAGTTATAAGCATCCTCACTAGACAATGGAAAGGGTAAATCCATAGTCCATTCACTTAATGCCCTTGATTTCTTCATGACGTACTTAATAATGATATTGTAATTTGAAAACATTTCTTCACACATAATTATTCACGAAAAAGGCTAATCTAATTCCCAATCTTCTCTTGGTTCAGAAAATAAAAAGAAGATCGAAAGGAAAAAAGGAAAGACCCTTCATGAATCTCTGTGGAAAATCGTCCAAGGGTAATAAGCTCAGACATACTGAGAACGGAAAAAGTACCCTCAGGCTGTATGCTAGAACCTAACAATTACAACATCTATCCACTTCTTGTAATTGAAACACACTACATCTACACATTATTGACAGCTATAATTTATTTAAATTCTCCATTATTACCCAAATCACCTTTTCTTATCCATCATGGTTCAAATACTATGACTTCTTCTATAAAACAAACAAGAATGAAGGCAGTGAATGTGGATTTAAAATAGGCAGTGTGTCAAAAGATTAAATTTATCAGTGTAATGTAAAAAAAAATTTCTCTCAAAGTAAGCAAGAGATGCCTAGTCCACAAATAAAATGTAAGTTAGACCCATCCTTTTTTTACGCACCAATTTCCTATTATAACAAAAACACTTTTAAAATTGGTTACTAATGTTAGGATAAATTAACTCAAGGCCCTTGCACTTTCAGCTGGAACATAGTTCGTGAAACTTATAATTTGTTAATTTTCAAATTGCAGATCATATCATCACCGTGATAGTAAGGCATCCAAGGCGAAAGTTCAATACCTTAATGTATGAGTTTTCTAAACTGAAAGATAAAATATGATCTAAAGCAATACTAATTAGAGTTTTCTCAGGCAAAGAAAAAAAAATATATTACTAGCAAAAGTTAAAGGACTGCCTGCAAAGATTGATTTGTCAGTAATTGCGAGGAAGGACCGAAACATATATTGAGCACTCAACAGGATCTGGTGCTATACACTTCCTACATTTATTGGATACAAAAAACAGCAAGTCAAAAATCACTAAAACATATTTTGTGATAAATTTTGTTATCCTTTAACTAATGTAATCATATATGGCATATTTGGTACCATAATAATAAATATTAAACCCTTCAAGCCAAGATTGTTAGTTGTTACTAATCCAACTAGTGGATGAATATTTCAATATATATATATATATATATATATTCCCAACACCCTTCCTGCAGCCAATTATGAGGCATAGGATTTGAACACTAAATCTAATAGTGGGGAAGACTCTAAGAACATGTTATTTGACTATCAAAAGAAAATGTTGTAGCAAATTTTTTGTCTAATGAATTGAAAGTAAATTACAATAATAGTTTATAAACATAAATTATAACATTTTTGGTACATATTTAAACTTATATGATGACATTGGATATACAATTGTGAATAATACATAACATTGAATATAATCATTTTCATTAGATGTGTACTTTTATTTTTTTAACGTGCTAAAGTATCAAAGATATTTGCCTTGTATTATTTTGGCCTTGTAAAATAGTAATCTTAATAATTTTTCCAAATCATGTCTTACCAAAAACATTTTTGGAGATTAAATAGCTTTTCTATTATTTAACAAAATTCACTTCTATTCTAAGCAAAAAAATATTAGCTTTTATTCTATGAAACTAGGAAAGATTTACTTTTAACATGCAGTTTTAGATTTTCGAAACTAAATGAATAAGTTCTTTTTTTTAACACTATAGAAAGTGAAATTTCATTTTATTTTTTTAGTCAAGACTGATTTAATTAATTTGGTCTTTATTAAGTTAAATTAAAAATATGTCCATTAAGTTTTGTACTTGCAAATTGGGCCAATATTATATGGACTTTCAAATCAAGTCAAGGGTGGTGCAATCTGATATTAATTAAAATAGATTTATTAATCATTAATTCATAGTAGACTATTGAGGCCAACCTATTGTTAAAATCCAGATTAGATGGATTTTTTGAGTTACAAGTCACTCAAGGTGTTTGGAAGATTCTAGAGTTTCTTGAAGAACAATCCATGATTCTTCTAGACAATTTCCTTTTAAGCCAATAAACTCCATTATTTGGCCATAAATCTCAAAGAAACTGTGTCGAGTTCTTTCAATCAACACGAATCGTGTGAATCTAGTATTGAGTAAGTTTTCTCCTTGAAATTCAAATCAAATTCAACACGGAATCAAGTGTCTTTTGGGGGTTTAAGTTACACAACTTGAGGTTCCTCTAGAGTAAGGATTCTATTTTTATTAGAAGCGTCTGAAAGGTTTGAATGGATGAGCCTAGTGGCACTAAGTTGTTTAGAAAACTTTTTAACATTCAACTTGAGGTTCAAAGTGAACAGTTGACTTAGTTTGGCGTCAAGGATAGTTTCGGGAAAGACATCAGACACTTGTGTCCCCTGTGACAGCCCCACCTTCCCCTAGGGCGTACCAAAGGGGTTAGCGGACTGCCTGCCCAGTTCTCGCCAGGACTACTAAGACGGTCGTATATAATCTAAAATGTTTCGAAAAATATTAGCGTGCTCAAGCGATTTAAAACCCGCAAAATGGGAAACGAAAATTGAAATCGCAAATGAATAGTGACCGCCACGTCACTATCCAACCAGAATCCAATCAAATGTAGATGTCACCATACACCTCAGAGAAACATTCCCAAACCAAATAGGATACATGAACAGGGTTTAACAGTGTTATACACATACGTTTGTAATTTACAAATCAAAAGGAAGATATTTAGATCAAAGTACATTTAGGGTTTTTCCAACCATCGAGGAGCTTTACAAAAGAATATATTCAAACTATATGAAAACTAGCTCAACTCGTGCTTCAAAACAATATAGTCCCCCAACAGTTATTCATATCCCTGTAAGGAAAACAAAGTAACGAGGGTAAGTTTAAACTCGTGAGGTACCAACAAGACACACCAGTAAACACCTTTTATCACATAATGATCCCAAAGCTCATAAACAAAACAAATCAATAAAAGGATACAATTGGCTCTCAAGAGCCACTTTCCACTTGCCGCACTTGATCTCCAACCCGTTGACACTCCGTCAACCTTTGAAGAGAAGAACATCCCGTAGATCCCCACTTTACTCCGTATCCCTTCCACCGATCACCCTCTTACCGGGCCCGAGCACCTCACAGTAACAGAGAGGGTAATACTCGAGTATACCATAAGGTCGAGGAGTTAACACTCCACTCGACTACAGTGAACCCAAGGTCCCTTATCGATGCCCCCAAGCCCTTGCCGGCTCGATTCGATTAAAGACCAATGGGGTATGAGCTCAGATAGCACAGTTAAGTTGTCGGGCAAAGCCCTCAACCATGTCAAATCACACATATAAACAATTTCACATTTGACAGTAACAGTAATACAGATAAGAGATCGAGAGCGATAAAGTACACTCTCGTCTCATTCAAGCCATTCAAGTTCACATAACAAGTATACACAATCATTTAAGCATTAGATCATATAATGGTACACTCACCAAGGTAAGTAAGCAAATTCACAAGTTAGCTTCAGGCGTAGGCGTCGGATCACGGGCACGACCTATACAATAAGAATATCCCAATTAAGACTCGAATACGAGTCAAAGCAAATCCACACACTACCAAAAATAAGGCCCAATACGAGTCAAAGCATTGTGTTGAATCAGAAAATTGATCTTTTGTTTTAATTCCTTATTTCTAACATAGGATTCTTTCAAGTTATTATGCATTCTTTCCAAAAAAGAATTAACATCATCATCAGATTCATTATCACTATCAGTTTGAGAGTTACAAGTAGTTACCTCTTCATCACTAATAGCCATGAAAGCCATTTGGACAGATTCCTTTTCTTCTTCGACTTCACCTTCTGAGTTGCAGTCATTCCAGGTAATCTGGAAGTTGTTAAACTTTGGTTTTCTTTCAATTTTTCCTTCTTTCTTTTTCTTCATGGACACTCGCTCGTATAGTGTCCAGGTTGGCAGCACTCGAAGCATTTGTCAGTTTGTTTCTTATTGAACTCTTGCTTCCCTTTGTTCCTTGAGTTGTTGAACTGATTTGGGAATGGATTGTTAAGTCCTCCTTTTCTGAATCTTCTTTTATTAAGAATTCTTTTGAAATTTCTTGTGATGAGTACAATGTCACTATCATCACCTTCCATATCGTCTCCATCCAAGGAAGCCGAGTC